CTCTACTCCCACAGTTTTCAATGTCCCAGGCCATAGGTCCAGGGTTAGACTCTGTGAGATCATGATTTCCTTTTATTGTTTGTTTGTCTTCTAGTTTTTTTGGTTTTGATTTGGGTTTGGATTTTTTCAGGGAGGGGTGTTATTTATGAGACAGCTCCTGCTGGCCTGGAACTCACAGAGTTCCTCCTGCCTCTGCCTCCCGAGTGCTGGGACTAAAGGCCCGTACCACGAAACCTAGCTGTCTTCTAGGTTTTTTGAGACAGGGTCTCACTGTAGCCCAGCTGGCCTGGAATTTGCTACATAACGTAGGCTAGCCCAGAACTTAGGACCCTCTGGCCTCGGCCTTCCAAGTGCTGGAATTGTAGGTGTGGGACAGCACACCCAGTTGTTGATTTTCTCTTTCTATCATCATCTATTGAGTCTACCCCACTGTCCTCCAGCCCCACCTAAACAGGACCCTTGCCTCCCAGGCTCAGGGCTCAGTCTTGTATCTTGGTTAGGCTATGCCTCTCCCTGGACTCTTCCCTCTGCCCTCCTAAGGAACACTAGACATAGGGGGCTCAGAGTACAAGTCTCTCCTAAAGTGCCTTTCTGACCTCTCCAAGCTGAAATAAGGACTCTACTCCCAGGGTTCCTTATTTTTTGAGCCCCCAAATCACCCCATATTGCGATTGTGAGGGCACATTTTTCATACTTGTTTTTGTGCACCCTAGCATTCAGCATAAGAGGAGGCAAACAGCAGGTGCTCAGTCAATGCCAGGGGATGAGCGGCCTGAACTGCAGTGCTTCCGGCAACCTCTGTGCCAGGGAAGGTGTGCCCTCAAAGCTGAGGTATGTAGGAAGCACTGGGTGGCTCAGGGCCCAGGCAGAGCAGTAGGAGATTTGGGGCAACATTTGATCTGTCAAGGAGGTGAAGGGGGCTGCTCCCCTCCCTAATCTGCAGCCCCACTGGGGAGAAGAATGCACTCCTGGGGCCACAGTGACCTGGGAAGTGGGGAGGTCAAGGCCTGCCTTGGGAAACCAAGCAGACATACTCTTCAAGCCTGCCGGAATTCTCCTATCAAGAAGGCCTGACAAAGGAGGCTGTCAACCTCCCAAGTCCCAGACCCATGCAGCACCACTCCTATGGCAAAGGGTCCTGTGAAGTCACTCTGGAGCTCAGAGAAAGAAGGTAGGGCCAGGTGGTGAGGGCCAAGGGATGGGAGCTCTCTGCTCCTCTTTCTCTTGAAATGCAGCAGGAGGAACCAGGATTTTACCACAAAAGCTTCTGAGTTGTACACTGTTTCTGCGATTATCACCTATAAACACTATCTCCCAGCTATCACTCTCTCCTTACGTGGAAGCACAGATACTCAAATGCCAGCAGGTCCTTGAGTTCATGGCACAGGCTCTCACACCTATACATGGACTTCCAACAACACATACATACATACACCTCACCACTGCAGCAATCCCATTTCCATCCTTGCATGCTTTACTCGGAGGACAAAGAGCTCACTCCTCTTAAGGCTACCTAAGGTACCCAAGGTACCTTAAGGCTACCTGTTATATTAGGAACAGCTCTGGCTCCCCGGACCCCCACCCTACCCCCAATGTGTGTGTGTGTGTGTGTGTGTGTGTGTGTACATACATGCATGCATTGAGTGTGTGTGTTTGTGACTGGGTCTGAAGTATCCTCATGGCTGGTCTTGAACTTATGATTCTCATCCTTCCATCTTTCAAGTGCTGGAATTACAGTTGTGCGACACCACACCTGGATCAAACTCTGGCTTTTGATCCAGATAACCCCTCCTTCCACTTAGCTTTGGCCTGGCTTGCTTGTGACTCCCTGTAAAATCCCCTGCCTCTCCATCCTGAAGAACCATCCCCTAGATTACCTTGAATACCCCCAAGTGTCCCCTGCCCCAGGTTGCCCTGCCACCTGTGCTTGAGTGAGCCCCTAAACAGCCCAGAGAATACAGAGTTCTATCTCATTCTCTGCTCCCCATGACTTCTCCAGAGTGACACTCTAATTGTAGATTGGTAATTGTCATGGAGATTGTTACAAGGCCAGCACAGAAGAATCTAGTTGTCACAAGGCAGATCTGCCTTGTACCCCACCAGACACAGTGGGACTTTGAGACATTAAACACTCAGCCCACTGCAGGCATCTCCAGGAATGAATATGGATCAAGGGCTATGCTGCCAGGTTCTCTTTTATTAGCCAATTAGGACAAAGAACAGGTCACAAAGTCACAGGAAGAAAGACTGACTGACTGACTGACTGACTGACAGACACAGACACAGGACAGAGCATCATGCTGTACTACGCAGGGGGCAGGGTAGAGGAAAGAGGGTGGTTTGAGTCTTGTTTCTTCAACTAACAGAATAAATACATACAATACACCGTGGTTTCACCACAGGCTGGCACAACCTCTAAGCACAAATGGTCACAAAAGAGCTGGTTTGGAAAGCAGTCTATACAGCCACCAGCCTCAGAGTAGAGGTGGGGACCCAGGCCCCTGGACCATGTTCTGGGGAAATGAAGCAGGGAAAGTGAGACCTCAGACAGGAAGAAGCAGAGAGGGAGGAGGCTTCTCTGGAAGGGTCAGTCAGGGCCTGAGCCTCAGGCTGTCATCCCGGAGTGGCCCAGTAGGCCTGGGAGAGATTCCATCAGCAGTGTCAGCTAGGTGGGCCCACCCAAACTCATGCCTTCTAATTCCTCCAAGAAAACATGTCCCCAGTTCCCAAAGAGGAATGCTTACTTCTTCCACTAACTTCCTTCTGTTTTCTAATTGCTTTTACTACCTGAGTGTGGTATCTTAAGCTACCTTGAGATTCCCTAAGGATAAGACCCATATGTATTTTCCATTCTCTCTAGCCTTGTGGGTTTGGGTCAGCTAGACGGGAGAAGTATTGATAAAGATCTGAGGGAGTTTGGAAAAGCTCAAGGTGGACCTGACTTCTTCCATGACAGAACATGACTCCAGGTGGCCTTGTCCCTTAGGTCAGGGGAGGCTTCTGGGAGGGGTGGTAATGCCTAGACATGTTGGATTCCAAGGCTCAGTAACAGTCACTTGCACTCAGGAGTAGACAAAAAAAAGCTTCAGCCCTGTGCCTGGTCCCAAATTAGATGTTGTTTTAGAAACTTCCTGAAGCTAACCACAATTGGTGAGCCATAGGCCACAGAACTCTCCCCAACCCCCAACCCCTTCTTGTCTCCCTGAGTTTTTGCTAACCTCTCATCTCCCTGGCTAGGCCTCTCCTCCTCTGATGTCCCACAGCTCTGGACTCACCTTCCAGATTCTAGATCCCAGGAAGAAAACCCTTGCTCAGAAACCCTCACCTGCCTGCATTGGTCCTTCCCACATGTATGTGCAAGTGGCAGGCTGATTCCAGGCCTTTCTGCCCCATCTCTCATGAAGTCCTCCACCTCCTGCTCAATGATCTACTCAGTCTGACCTCTCTTGTTTTGTATGCATGATTTTCTAGTCCAGATAATTGCTCTCATTTTTTTTAACTGTCCAAAGCCTTCTCCATCCAGTCCAGACTGACCTACCAAGATGGGTATTACCTGGCCACCCAGCTAAAAGGGGAGACTTAGGAGATAATTGCTCTCATTTTTTTAACTGTCCAAAGCCTTCTCCATCCAGTCCAGACTGACCTACCAAGATGGGTATTACCTGGCCACCCAGCTAAAAGGGGAGACTTAGGAATCTGGGCCTTTGCTTCAGCTTTTCTAAGCATGGGGTTGAGGATTCAGTGGTGAGTAAAGGGTTGGGGATCATGACCAAGAATCTGTCCAAGCCATCCTGATCCTCCTGACCATGGGCCTGGAAATGGAGTAGCCCCCAAGGCTAACACTGGAATTCAAGAAAAACAGGTTCAACTCTAGATTGTCCAAACTAGAAAGGAGGCATTACAGTTAGTAGAAAACTGAGGCAGTATCCACAGGGAGCTTCATGGGTTCAAGAATGTTCCTTACCAAAACAACAGTAATGTTCTAACTCACACATTGGGCTTTGGAAAGCATTTGTGTTATAGTTGTTGTTAAGTAAAAACTCTGTCCTAGAAAGTTGTGGGCACAGAGTGCAGACTATTAGAAATAGATTTTATAGGTCATCTAATCCAGATGGGACAATCCCAGAAAGGCACCAGGCTTACCCAAGGTCACACCACCACAAAAGGGAGTCTGCAGAACAGGGTTGCTTGGCATATAAGAGCACATCTTTCCACACCAGTGACTAGCTAGACCAAAGTCCCTACTTCCATAGCTGTTTCTGGGATGGAAACCAACAGATTTGACCTTATGGTTTTCACTGATTGACCAGGAGCTCTAGAGCTCTGACAAGGATGCTGACCCTTCTGCCTATTTCCCTCACATCCCCCTCCACAATCTGAGGAACTGGTACCTCCAAGCTAAAGAAAGAGACGAGTAAATGCTATGTAAGTCTTTCCAGATGTTTAGGGGAGGCTGTGGGGCTAGAGCTACCTCTTGCCTGTTGTCTCCATGTAGGAACTTGTTGAATCTTGGGGCATGGAGTGGAATAGCTGTCCAGAGAGGGTACAGGTTAAGGGAGGAGATAGGCAAGCAGGGAAGAAGCAGAGAAGAGAAACAGAAAGAAGCAAAAATCACCAAAACCAAACCCACAACCCCAAACAAAACACAGTTTGGGAATACATGATACCAGCAAAGCCAGGACCAAATGAAGAAACCAGAGGCAGAGGGAAGAATGGCAGTAAGCTCAGGGTAGAGAAGGCAGAGAGGGACAGAGGTCAGGACACTGGCAGGGGAGGGAGAGCAAGGGAGAAAAGAAGAAAGAGAGAACTGGAGTGAACTTTGGAGGCAGGGTGGAGGTGAGGGTAGCAGCAGAGATGTGATGAGAGCAGGGCAGGGGCCTGGGGCAGGCAGTGCCTGAAAATATAGCTTCATATATTTATATTTAATCTCACATTCCACACATCAACTTACTAGGGGGGAAAGAGGGGAGGAGGAGGCAAATACTGAAGAGGGACTCTAGCCAGCTGCTCGCCTCCTCCCCATTCAGCCCACATGGGGTCCAAGCCGGGAAGGGGGCATGCAAAAGGTATTTGGGTTTCACCTAGGGTTGGGAATCTGAAGAAGGGAGACAAGGAGAAGACTCCAGGACCCAGCATCCCTGGGCTCCCAAGTTAACACTCAGAGAACCTTCTAGGAATAACCAGGGGGCTAGTAGGGGGGACACCCAAGGCCATGGTTGGATTGGAGACCAGTCAGTTAGGGAGGGTATCGAGTCCCAGGGAGGCTGCATGCTGCTTGGCCCGGAGCCGCAGGTTCTCGATGCTTGTGGTTTTACTGTTCAGGGCAGCTGAGGCAGGTGCCAGGCCTGCGGGGGGTGCAGGCAGCAGTGGTGACCCCCACACACCCTGATGGGCAGCAGCAGCTGCTGACAGGGATTGGTAGTAGGACTGGCAGTGCAGTGAGCTCAGTGGGGCCATGTTGACACCCAGGTAGGGCACTGCAGCAGCAGCTGCTGCAGCTGCAGCGGGAGCCGGGCCTCCCACTTCAAAAGACGAGTAGTGCACCAGGTTGTTGGTGGCTGCCATGTGCTGGCGAAACTGCTCCTGCAGCCGGAACAGGCTGAGCGGGGATGAGGAGTAGGAGTGGGACGGGCCCAGGAGGCTGCCCCCTGGGGCCGCAGGCGTTATGGCCAGGCTGCCTGGGGAATCTGTAAGTAAAGAACAAGAACCACATACTCAGGACAAGGGGGCTGGCCTGCAAGGATGGGTTCCCTAGGCTTCCCATCCCCTTGATGCTGCCTCAGTCAGGGCATCCTTTGAAGTAGCCCTCAGAATCTGGGCAGGAAGGACTTAGGAAAGCTTCAGGGTTCCTGCTTGAGCACTCATGCCTGAGTTCTCAGGGATCCCCTTTATCTGTTCATGGGATATCCAGGGCTTTCATCCCCTCCCCAGCTCTAGGTTCATAGTTCCTGTCCCCTCCCTGCCTACACTTGGGGTTTGTATATAAAATACGTCTCATGACACATTCTGTTCCTTCATAAGCATAGCTAGAGGTGGGGGCTCCAGCCCAAGGCAGCTCTGTGAGAAAGAGATGGGTGTTCCCCAACCCCAAAAAGAGTCATCCTCTATACCCTCTCAGCAGATGCCCTTCCACAAAGGCTCCTAAGGAACCAGACCCCTGAGCTGAAAAAGCTAAGTTCTAAGAAAAGTTGGAATCAGGAAGAAATCTGCTACATGTGGGAATCTTGGGTACCAATGCAATGTTCACACTAGTGTAAGTGTACTGATTGTTAAACTATTGGAATACTTTAAATAACTGATAAATGGTAGAGGAGACCTAGCCAGCCTCTCACCTCCTCCTTGTTCAGCTTTCCTGCTGCCTAGGCCCGCTCTCAGAACCATCTAGCTAGATCTTTCCATGACTCAGCAACTAAAGAGTGAGCACCTGGCACTATGGCCAGGCCTATTTAACTAACTGGTCATGCTCCTGAGTGCCAGTGGTTGAACTATCCTGCTCTGACTCATGTTGCACACTCAAGCCAATTAGGCTGGATTTGGCCATATTCCTGACCTGTGGCCCCACCCCGCCTGCAGCACCTCCCAAGCCTTACCTGCCTTGGGGCTGCCCCTCTTGCAGCCCAGACCCTTGTTCTCAGACCCAGGGCTCTTCTCAGCCTTGGGATCCTCAGTCCCAGACCGGGAGTCCTCCTCTCGGTCGGGCTGATCTTCAGGAGCTGACTCACTGGCTGACTGCTCAGACAGGCTCAGTTGAAGCTCAGCAGGGGGATCACCACTGGGCAGACTTGGGGGCTGTTCTGCCTCCAGCTGGGTATCTGGGGCTGGGGCCTCCATCTTGCCTTCTCCAAGGGATCCCTCAGTCTCCTTCTGCTTTTGAAGCTGTTCTTTCTGCAGGCTGCGTTGTTTCTTTCGGAACTTGGCCCTGCGGTTCTTGAACCATACCTGGGGACCAGGGAAAGAAGCAGTTAAAGGTAGAAAGGAAGTAAGACTGTTATGGAGTAGGATACTCTGGGAGAAGGTGTGGATGATAATGCACCCTCACCCAACACTATCTGTCCTTTCTACATGGGCATTGAGGGAGACAGGCATGTACCTCTGCACTGCCCAAGCAAATCCTGGCTCCTGGAGGAGGCAGATACATGGGCCAATGCACATCTGCAAAGCACAGTTACGAGAGCTGGAGCCTACCTGCACCCGGGCCTCAGGCAGATTGGTACACATTGCCAGCCTCTCACGCATCACCACATCTGGGTAGTGAGTCTTCTGGAAGGTCTTTTCCAGGGCCTCGAGCTGCTGGGCCGTGAATGCTGTGCGGCTGCGACGTTGTTTGCGGTGCTGGGAGCCATAGCGGGCCTCCAAAATGATGTCTTGAAATGTACAGCCGTTGGAGGACAAGGAGAGGGGGCCCATTTAATTATGGGAAATAAGTTTTGAATCTTATCCTGCTCTGACCCACTTTGGACATCCATCCAGCAACAGAGCTGACCCCTGGCCCTTGGCCCTTGACCCTTGGAAATCACTCATCCCATCTCTGCCATTCAAAATCTCTCCACCCCTGTCGTCCATCACCCTCAGAACCACAGAGGTCTAACTCAGCTCCAAAAATGGCTGTCCGACGTATGATTGAGGGAGATCTTCCTAATGTGACTGACATTAGGGACAATAAGTAAGAAATGCTCCAAGATTGTTAAAGTCTCAGCATACTAGGCCAAGTATGGTGGTGCATACTTGTAATTCTAGGAATCAGGAAGCTGAGGCAAGGAGGCTTGCAAGTTCAAGACTAGCCTGGGCTATATAGTAGGACACTGTCTCAAAAAGAAAAACATGACTGGACACTGATTTGTTAGATATGCTGAATGAGATGATACCATTATTGTTCTTGGTATCTAATTTTTATTTTGCTATAAATTTTCTAATAAAACCTCAAAAAGAAAAAAAAACAGTCCCAAGATGCTGTGAGTATAATAAATATACTATTCTGAGAAGACATGACTCTAATAATCTGAAAACCCATCTTAATGGTTCCCTGTGATCCTTAGATTCTGACTATTAAGGCTTCCTTAGCACCAGAATACTGACCCTTAGCCATCAGAGGTCAGGCTGTGGACCGGTGCTTATCTCAAGGACTACTTAGGGGAAATCTGACTGGGCAGACTGATTTCTCTGCCTTTTACATTAACTCTCTTCCTTCCAGTTGGTCTATACATCTCTAATGATAGGACATGAAATCCCTGGTCTCATTTTCTAAGTAGAAAGCTTGGCTCTGACAGGGCCTTCGGCATACTGGAAAAGCCTTGTTACCCCAGCCTTGACCCTCTGGATACCTCTTTAAGACAAAGAGAACAAATCTCCACATTTCAAGCTTGGAGGGGAGATAGTGGACCATTGACTCTACAGGCTTGCCTACATGTTTGGTAACATGAAAAAAATCAGCCAAGATGGTCCTTCCTAGCCCTTCTGTCCAATTGGTATCTGAAGGCTAGACTATCATTTCCCATCGTGTACAAATGGAGCCTGCTTTGTCAATGCTGGAGGGAATTTGAGTTGTTTCAGCCTCTGTACAGCATTCCAGAATCCTCCCTCGTACTCCATAATACCCTCAATGGAAAGTATACAGGAAGCCCCAGACTTTGGGATACTTCATCAATAAAAGAGGTATCTCTTATAAATTAGCACTAATCCTAGCCCAGACATATCCCTAAGGTCATGAGTGTCACCCTTGGGCAGGGGACTTAGTCATTCCCACTCAGGTGGTAGTGGGGGTAACAGCTCAGCATCCTACTTCTGGCTCCAGGGATTGCAAGGGACAGAGTAATAAAGGGGAGACCAGGCTCTCCGTCATATGCAGAATCTGCCATGGAAGGTAAGGTTCCCATAAGAATGCCCAAGCAGACCATGTTTTCTTCTTAAAAGTTAGAGAGTTAGAGGTAAGCTAAGCACCCCAGTTCCTCTGTCCCTACCAGTGGGCATGAGCCTCTGTCCTGACTCCGCTCTATGCTCTAGTCCTTGGTCACTACCACATTTGGCAAAGAGAATTCACTCCAAACTTGGTAAGTACTGTAGCTGAGGCAGGACTGTACCTACCACCACCACACTGGACACTAATGTTTCACATTGATCTAGGAAAGGTGACCAAGGACTCAGTTTATCCCCTGAGTCCTGATCAGAGGCCTTGTAAGGTCTAAAAGAATAGGGCTGACCACTGCATCCTCCCTGCCAGGCTGGTACCCCAATGTAGGCAGGGTCCTCAGATCCTACCCCATTCCTGTGTCTTGCCTCCTGCTGGTCCTCCCTCCTTGCAGTACTTTTAAAAGTTCCTGTTCTGTGGCTTACAGAAAGACTTCCTGTCTTCATCATCCCATTATGCTGCTCTGAGATGTCTCACCATTGGCTATGGTCACACTCCTTCCACCATGCCCTCTCATAGGTATGTGGACACAGTCTCCCAAGGAGTTCCCTGAAGTCCTTGGCAACTACCTGGCATGGGCATAGGCTCACATGCTACAGGATGAGCTTGGCCTGGGACAGTACGGGATAAGTAGCATCATTTCCCAGTAAATCTAGTCCACCACCTATGTCATTGAATCCTTCTCATATCCACTATTATATAAAATGGCCCAAAGGCTCCTATGTTAGAGGCTTGGTCCCTAGTTGGCAGCACTAGTGAGAGGTGATTGGATCATGAGGATGCTAACCTCATGGATTAATTCATTGATACTGAATGAACTACTAGGAGGTGAGGCTTAGGTGGAGGAAGTAGGCCACTAGCGACATGTCTGTGAAAGGTATATCCTATCCTTGACCCCTCCCTGCTGCTTCCTGCCTGCCATGACATAGGCAGCTTTACTCCACCATTATGACAATATGCCTTAATACAGGCTCACAGCAAATGGAGCCAGCCAGCCATGGCCTGAAACTTCTGAAACCATGAGCCAAAGTAAACCTTCCTCCTTCTCGATTGTTTCTCTCCATTATCTCATCACAGCAATGGAAAAGCTAACTGACACAGAAATCAACTGAGAGACAGGACAACAGTCAAAAGCCAGAGAACCAGGCTGCACCTCACTCTTGGGTTCTTGGTACTTGTTCTAGGCATTGAGTACTAATGATTTGGGAGCATAGCCAGGCTCTACTGACCACTTTGCGTAACTTCCCAGCTAGCCTGTGGGAGAGACACTACTACTGTCTTAGAGGACACTCAGGTTCAGAGAGGTAAGTGGAGAGACTGTGCTGACTACAAGTCTGACTCCTCAGTTTTAGCTATACTGCCAACCCCAACCTCACTCATACTTAACCTCTCCAAACTTCAGTCTCCTCATCTATAAAATGAAGATCATAACCTCTTCGTGGGGATTGAATGGAAAGAGAAAAAAAAAAAACTGAGAGAAGGTGAAAGACCCACATGGAGAGCTGGAACTTAACTAGTATTCAGACTGTGACAGCCATCATTATCTTTATCCCCTATGCCCCCAGTCTCCTCCTAGAGCACTCTGGCCCTCCTCTAGGTACTTCCACTCGACAGCTCTCTGAGCTAGTTCCATACTTGCTGCCTCGGTCTATTTAGCCGGGAGACAGCTAACAAATACCTCCCTAGCAGGCTGGTTATGGAAAGCTGAAGGCTGAGGCAGTTCCAGGATCTAGCACAGTGCTGCCAAGCAAGGGTACTCTGCATGCATTTGCATAGATCTTGTGTAAATGCTGCCAAAGTCAACATAGCACAGAGTTTGACTTGTCATCTCTGTATGTTACTAAGTGACCTAGGGCTTTCTAAGGCACCTAGAATAAGCTGCCCAGTGTCCCCCTTCTCTTTCTGCCTTCTGGGATCTCCTCTTGTAGCCCACAGGGTCTTGTCCCCAGGGCCAGGTCCCCAGGGCCCTTACCAGCTAGGCGCTCTGCCAGTGTAAGTGCATGCACTGATGGCCGGTAGTCGGGGGCATGCTGGGCCTGCTGGGCTGCCTGCTGGTGCAGGTTATACATGGCGCTGAGTGAGTTCATGGCATGTAGTGAGTAGCCATTCACCCCGTAGTGCTGCATGGTGGCATCTGCCTACAGACAGGGAAGAGAGAGAAGGATCATGAGAGACATAGACCCCAGTCCAGAACCTTTACCCCAAGGATTTCTATACCCAATCAGAACATGGCCTGTCTTGTCTACTCCTTCATTCACCCAGTCATCCAGTGATTCACTCTGCATGGCCAAGGCTGCAGAGCCATATGACTTGGGCAGGAATCTCAACTTCTCCCTTTCAGAGCTTTGTGGCTCTGAACAACTCACCTAAATTCTCTGACCATCAGTTTCTCTATCCAGAAAATGACACTAACAGTAGGACAAATCTCCTGGGTTTGTACAAATATTAAGAGAATCCTTTACAATTGAGCCTTGTATACTATGTGCTCAAAAATGTTAGTTTTAGAGCTGGGCATGGTGGTGCATGCCTTTAATCCCAGCACTCAGGAGGCAGGGTCTCCCTGTAGCCCCAGCTGTCCTGGAACTCACTATGTAGACCAGGCTGGCCTTGAACTCAAGATCCACCTGTCTCAAAAAGACCAAAAAAAAAAATGTTAGTTTTAGCTGGGCATGGAGCCCACAATTTTAATCCCAGAACTTGGGAGAAGGAGGAAGGAAAATCAGGGGTTCAAGGTGATTCTCAGCTACAGAGCAAGTTTGAGGCCAGCTTGGACTACATAAGACCCTGTCTCAAAACAAAACAAGTTATTCTTTGTAATTGTCTGACCATTTGCTGCTTTGTAAAACCATCTCTTCCTTGAATTCCCCAGGCACGTACTCATGTGTTCATCCAGTGATTTACTTGCACATGTATCTATTCAACCAACGTCATTGAGTTTCCCTGAAGTGAAGTCCAGAGCTAGATTCCCCAATGAGGCATTCACACTGATGAGACAGTAATTTAAAATCCTAACATGCTTCACAGGCATAATACTGTTGTTATGACTGTTATACAGTCACTGTCATTACCTCCTTTATTCTCATCAAATCTCCAAAAAGCAAGCAAGCCAAGAACAGCAAACCCAATTTGCAGATGAATGTACTGAGGCTTAAAGAAAGAACAGTGATGTGTTAAGGCCATACAGTCAATCCAAGGCCTGCCCCACCACATGTCACTGAGGTCATTCTTTTGCAGCCAATTGCTCTAAGAAAATCATCCTGAAGAACATATCTCTCCTACTGAGATGTCTTATATGAGCAATAGGCTACCCAGGCCCTACAAGCTCCAGGGCCTCTCTAGAGCCCTGCAGTCCTTATCGGAGCACCTACCCTGCATCAGCCTGACATGTGACCCCCATGCCTGTAGTCACCCAAAGGTACAAAGATGTTTTCTGTTGCCTGCATATGGGAAGTGGAAGGGGAAGGTTGGGTTAATGGCAGATCCATTTGCTAGAGGAACATATCCAGGTGTCCCAAATCCCCATTCTTACTGAAATAAATACATGTGTATATAACCAAACATCCACAGCATACATACAAATGCATACAATAACAGATATATTTCCTACACAGACACACATACGAAAGCATTGCTGGCAAAGCCATCTCACCTACACAAAATTCAATGTTGCTATTCCCAGCTCCACACACAAACCCTCATAGATGTCTATCCATGCAGCAGATACATCCACATACAGATATTACACCACACGTTACACATTAATTCAACAACTCCTTTTTAAAAATATTTTATTTATTATTTTTATGTGTATGTGTGTATTACCTGCATGTAGGTAAGTGCACCTGTGTCATACAATGCCCACGGAGGACAGAAGAAGCTATCAGATCCCCTGGAACTGGAGTTACAGACAGTTTTTAGCTGCCATGTGGGTGCTGGGATTCGAACCTGGGTCTTGTGCAAGAATAGCCAGTATTCTTAATTGCTGAGCCATCTCTCCAGCCCCAATTCAACAACTCCTTATTAAGCACCCAACTACAAAGTAACAAAATCTCTACTTCAAAGGAATTTATATTCCAGGGGAAAAATGATAAAATAAAAATATAATTATACTAGGTCTGAGGTCACAGGTCTGTAATCTCAGCTACTCTGGAGACCCAGACATAAGGATCATAATTTCAAGACCAGTCTGGGCAACTTCGTGAGATCCTGTCCCAAGATTTAAAAAAAAAAAATCAAAATGGGTTTGGGATATAAGTCATTGGTAAGGCACTTGCTCATCATGAGTGCCCATATTGCCTTTAGTTCAATTCCCAGTATGGTGGTGATGGTTCTCTCTCTGTGTGTGTGTGTGTGTGTGTGTGTGTGTGTGTGTGCATGTGTGTAAAATCTTTAAAAATACATGTAATATTTCAGACAGGAATAAATGCTCTGAAGCTACATGAGACAAAGAAAGGAGAGATAGCTGGGCATGGTGGCACACGCCTTTAATCCCAGGAGTTGGGAGGCAGAGGCAGGCAGATCTCTCTGAGTTCCAGGCCAGCCTGCTCTACATAACAAGTTCCAGGCCAGCTGGGGCTAACAGAGCAACCCTGTCTCAAGAAGAAAGAAAGAAAGAAAGAAAGAAAGAAAGAAAGAAAGAAAGAAAGAAAGAAAGAAAGAAAGAAAGAAAGGAAGGAAGGAAGGAAGGAAGGAAGGAAGGAAGGAAGGAAGGAAGGAAGGAAGGAAGGAAGGAAGGAAAGAAAAAAAGAAAGAAAGAAAGAAAGAGAGGGAGGAGGAAAGAAGGAGGGAGGGAGGGAGGGAGAGATTATTTCAGATCATGTGAACAGAAAAGGGGTCTGCTAACAGAAATGTGAAGTAACCCACGTGACACTCAGGGAAAGGCCTTCCAGCTGAAGAATCAGCAAGAACAAAGCCCTGAAGTATGAACAAGACTGAATCTATGAAGCAGCAAGAGCACCAGGGTGGCTGGAGCCTAGTAAGGAGAGAGAAAGAGGTGGAAGAGAGGAAGGGGCTGCCGGAGCGTTTCCTGGCCCATCACAATGAGTTTAGACTTTTAACCTGATTATGATGGGAACTCCCTGGAGGGTCTTTAACAGGGAAGTAATATGATATGATTTGTGATTTTGAGGGGATTATGTATGTGCATGTGCACAGGTGAGTACACATGTACATGTGTACATGTGAGTGTGGAGGCTGGGAGTGTCAGCCTCAGGTATCATTTCTCAGGAGTCATCTGTCTTATTTCTCTTTCTTTTTTCTTTTTTTTTTTTTGAGACAGGATCTAGCCCTGGCTGGCCTGGAACTTGCTTCTTTGTAGGCCAGGCTGGCTTTGATTTCACAGAAATCTGCATGCCTTTGTCTTCCTAGTGCTGGGATTAAAGTATAGGTCACTACACCTGGCCCACCTTGTTTCTTGAGACAGGGTCTCTCACTAGCCTGGAGCTTGTCAATTAGGCTAGGCTGGCTGACCAGAAGGCCTCAAGGATCCATGGCTGCACAGCAAGTACTTTATGAAACCATCACCCCAGTCCCCATGATCATTAAAATTTTTTATTACATTTTTATTGTGTGTGTGTGTGTGTGTGTGTGTGTGTGTGTGTGTGTACATGTGGGTATATGTATGGAGGTCAGAAGACAATTTGTAGGATTACGTTCTCTCCTACTATGTGGGACCTGGGGCTCTAACTTAGGTTACAAGGCTTGGCAGAAGATGCCTTTGCCCCCTGAGCCATCTCACTGGGCCTCATGATTTGTTTAAAGCTCTTTTGTGTAGAACAGACTAAAGAGGCAAGATGAGAAGATGAAGCCAGCAGGCTGATGCAAAGTCCTGGAGAATGAATGGAAAGCTATCCATATGTTCCAATGGATGGTTGTGTCCATGTTGCCTTCACTAGGGTGGGAGGGGTGGAAAAAGGAGGTCAGCGTCTAGATGTAGTTCAGAAGTAGCAGTGACATGATTGCTGATAGGGTAGTTCCAAGATATAAGGAAAAGGGGGCAAAAGGGAATAGTTGTAACTCTAGTTTGGGGCCCCAGCCTCTGAGTAAAGCTGAGTCTTTTCCAGTAACAGGACCACTGAGGAAGGAGCAGGTAGGTCTAGAAAAGGAGAGGATGGAAATAAGGATTTGGAGGAGACATGGCAAGTGAAATGTGGCTCCAGCTTCCAAGGAAGAATGAATTGAGAGCTGGATGTCTAAGTTAGGAACAGGTGGCTGATACCTTCCAACAACAGAAGTCCACTCTATGAATCATAAACATGAGCCCAGAAGTGGAAATCTAGGAGAAAAGATAGGTATGGTGATATAGTGTTTAAACATAAATATGGCAGGATATTACTCAAACCAACAAACAAACTTGGAAAAATATTAGCCAAATCAATAACATAGCACAATTGAGTAAAAAAACACAAGTAGCATAAATAAAAATTTAAAAGAATATCTGTAATATATTGTTTTGTTTGGACAGTGTATTATGTAGCCCAGATTGGTCCTAAACGCACTATGTAACCCAGTCTGACCTTGAACTTCTGGTTCTCTAGCCTCTATCTCTCCAGTGCTGGGATTACAGGTGTAGGCCACCACAGACAGCTTATGTGATGTTGGGAATCAAACTCAGAGCCTTATGCACTAGACAAGCACTCTACCAACTGAGCTATATCACCAACCCTAATATATAGTTTTAATATGGAAATAAAAAGATGGTCACTTTAAGAAAAAATGGGCTAAGTAAATGAAGAACTATCTCATTAAGGAAGACACACGAATAGCCAACTGACATGTGACAAAACCCTTAGTTGTAACCACAGAGAGAAAAATAGCAACAATAATTTATTTTTCACCAGTTAGATAATCAGATATGTACCATCCAGGGTTATTATACAGGGGACTAGGAAATGGTCCTTTTCTTACCTTGGTGGTGAAAAAGCTCTTTATTCCTTTCATCAAAAGCCTTTGGAGACTATATCATCTTTCACTTAACAATTCCATTTCTAGAAATTTATCCCTCAAGTATGCAGAGATATGTGTTTAGGAATATTTGTCACATCAATGCTTACGATGGCAAACAATTGGAAAACTGTCCATTGAAAAAGGATTAGTTCAGTAAATGAGGGGATAGTCATGACCCACAGTGAAATA